GAGGGTAGGAAAATGTTAGTAAATTCAGCACGCTCTGAATACTCAAAATCAAAATCTCAGCACAAAAAGGCAGCAAATAATTTCTTAGGTTTTAATTTACTCTTTATCTGTGTTGTTTACAGTATGAAACGATTCTGGTTAAATAGGTACATGAACAATGCACATGTTATAAAAAATGTTATAAACAAACAAACAAAATAATAATTAATCCACTAACCTGTACGTTCCTTGCACACACACTAATAACAAATTTGATTGAACAATTAATTTTAATGCAAAATAGGAATGAAAATTGAATAATCAATAATTACAGACGCTCGACACATTTTCTAAGGGACCAGTACAGCTCGTTCTCCCTTCTGAAGCCTAATCGCTTATTTTCTTATGTCTTCTCTTCGCTTCGGTACTCTGTTGCGGCGCGTCCCGTTTCGAAAAACCCAAACTTGAGGGCGCATTACATGGTTGCAACATTTAATTTTATTCTGTAAACGTTTTTTTAAAAAGTTGAAATTTGAAGAAATAATATTTTTAAATAGATGGTTTTCCTCAATAGGTAGTGTTAGATTAACGATAATCAGGCAGCTCAAAAACTTGCTAGCAATCCAGTGTTTTATTAAAGGTCTAAACATATAGACGTTAGGCATTATTTTGTTAGGGATGTTGTGGCTAACAAAAATTACTTTACATTATTGATGGCCGTTTGCACCGACCATTTAAAGGAAGCCTCAGCGATAAGTATTCCTTAAAATGATATTTTCAAATGGAAAAATGTCACTTTAAGGGACACTTATCGCTAAGGTTTCGTTAAAATGTTCGGTGCAAACGGACATGAATACTGTAGATATGCCAGCTGATGTTTCTACGAAAAGTCTGTTCAATGTAATGCATTTGAAATTTCTCAAGAGCTTAGGAATAGATGCAATGTGATATTTTACAACAAATACTTTTGAAAATATTTCGTCCTAGTGGGGGTGTTAAAATAATATTTTATGGAGTTCAAAATATTTTTAGTCAAGCCCTGTGCTTTCATGTTAGAATTTAGTACTATAGCACAGCATGTACTAGTCTGGTACTAGTTACTAGTCAGTTTGACAGTGATAGGATAGATTTTATAAAAGTGTCAGAGCGCTGGCTTCTCCTTCTATATTTTTACGTTGTTCATTTGGAATAAAAGACTGTAAAGTTACTTCGGCTGTTAATGTTATATATCTACGCACTTCAGAGTGATTTTGTACAAGATTTAGCATCCTTTTTCTTATAAAAGGTACAATTATGATTTTGTTGGGGTTGACACCTAAACCCTCTTAACCCACCCTCTAATAATAAGATTTAGGGCATTTTGCATGAGGTCACTGATCCAGTCATGCTTACCCATAATGGTGAGGTCGTCAGCATATCCTAAGATTGTTCATCTACTACAAGTGACTAACTACAGCAGTGGGGACAGTACATCCCCTTGGGGGCATCCATTGAATCCTGAGACCGTTGCAGAGTTACTTCCAATAGTTGCTTTGATTTTCCTATTCTCGAGCATGGCTTCAATCCATGCAATTGTAGTTTTGTCAAAGCCCTTATTTCTAGCCGCTCTTCTTACGGATTCATGTGAGGTATTGTCGAAAGCTCCCTATATATCAATGAACGCGCATAGAGCAGTTTCTTAAAAAGAGGGTGCCCTCTCAATCTTAGGGACAAGACTGTTGTTATGTCTCCAGCTTCCGGTATTTTTGCACCTTTTACATTTACTATATAAGTGGTAAAGGTAGAGTTTGAAGTGTTATCATTTCATAATTATTGAAAATATTATATAGAGTTGACTTGAAAAGTAAAGCATTAGTGGCGACGAGGATAAACCTATTTAGAAATAAAAATTGATGAATAACAATTTAAAGGATTTTTGGAAAATTTTTCAAAAATTATTCAGGCTACAACCAAAGTTCAAAACACCTCCAGGGAAAGTATTTCGATGAAACCTTTCTTGGAACATACGGAATCTTGGGATTTATACATTGAAAGATTAGAAAACTTCTTTAGTATGAAAAATTTTATAGGATCTGCTTCTGAAATAGAAAAAAAGAAAATGGAATCGTTGTTTTATACAACTTGGTAAGTCCTGATGATCCTAAGGATAAAACATGAAGAATTAGTGAAGTTAGTAAAAGAAGATTTAAGTCCTTCATTATCCTGCTACCGCTGTGGTGAAAATTCGCATTTAGCAAATTACTGTCTTAAAATTAATCTAAACTATAACAAATGTGGTAGAAGAGGACACAATTGCTAAAGTATGTATGAATTATTCTGTTCCAAGAAATTCATCCTCAACTTATAGAAATTTAAATCGATTAGAATTTTTGGAAAAAGAAAATAAAGATGAATTATATTACCTTAATGCACTCGATACAATATATTTACCAGAACATTCTAAAAAACCAAAGAAATATCTAGTTGAAGTAACTTGGGAATTTCATATAAGGATTTTATTAACAAATTTCCTGAAAAAGACATAATTAAAACATCTACCCTTAAAAACAAAATACAGATGAAATTATAGAACTCGTTGGTTTTTCAAGTATGAATATGGAAGTTGAGGGAAAGGAAGTTACAGCTAATTTATATATTATACCAGGAGAAGTTGACCCGATTTTTGGTAGAGAATGAATAAATACCACAAAAGTTGAGACCTCAGAAATACATTTTGTAAACAAATTGGAGGAAAAAGAGGAGGTGACTGCAACTCTTAAAGAAACATTTACTGATGTTTTTCAAGACGAATTGGGAAAAATTAACAATTTCGAAGGTAATCTATTTCTTAAAGAAAACTGTTCACCCATATACATTCCTACTCGGAAAATTCCTTATGCTTTAGAAGAAAAAGTGATTTTTGAAATAAATAGACTTGAGATGAAAGGTATTTTAACTAAGTTGGAGTATAGCGAGTGGAGGACTCACATATAGTTCAAATTTTGAAGTCTGATGATTCTGTTAGGCTATGCGCTGATTACAAAAAAACAATAAATAAATTACTTAAAGATGATAAATTTCCAATGCCAAATGTATAAGATATATTTGCGAAAACCATGCTGGGTGGAAAAATATTTACGATATTGGATATTTGAGAAGCCTACAGATATACAATATGCCAATGGATAAAGAAAGTACTGAAATCCAAGCTATTACAACTCCGATAGGGGATTATACAGTAAATCGATTGATGTTTGGCACTAAAGTAGCACCGGCGATATGGCAAAGATATATAACAAGAACATTAGGGGGGATTCCTGGTGTTTGCGTGTTATTGGATTACCATTAGTTTTGATAAGTGATAATGGACCAACCTTCACCTCAACTGAATTCAACAAACTTTATTTGGAAAGTAATGGAATCAAACATACGTTCTCTGCACCGTTTCATCCAGCTACAAACGGAAAAGTCAAAAGGTACGGTTAAACTTTTAAGAAGGCTTTAAAAAAAGTAATTGAAGAACCAAGAGATTTGGATCACAAATTACAGAATTTTTTAATGCGATATAGAAGAAGTCCTAATTCAACTACAAATTCTCCACCTTGCGTAAAATTAATGAATTACGAGATCCGAACGGAACTTGATCTCATTAAACCTGCTTTACAAGATTTTTTTTTTTAAATCGACAGTTGGAGAAGAAAGTTTTAGGAAATTTAAAGGGGGTTAGAGTTCTAAATTTTTCGGAGAAAAATACAAAATGGAAATATGATCACATTGCAGAAGGAAAGGGGCTATTACGTTATTTAATAAAACTGGATGATGGTCGTATATGGCGTAGACACGTTGACCATATTGCATAAGTACCCAAAAACACAATTAATGATCCTGCAATTCTTTTGGAAGAGTATATAGATGGAGCCGTCCAAAATACCAATAATAATATTCACTCGACCATACAAGAAGTAACTGATGAAGACATTCAAACCACTAGTACTACTCTACAAGAAGAATCAAGAATCTGATGAAGACATTTAGAATACTAGCAATACGCAAGAAGAATTTAACAATAAAAAAAAGGATGATGTTACTGAGGAAAGGGAGACACAAGATCAGAATTTGTCTATTCTACAAAACATCATAACTTTTAGAAGATCTAAAGCCAGTTCAGAAAATGAATTAATAATGAGGATTTACGAGGGACAACTGTTATGTCTTCCGCATCCGGTATTTTTGTACCTTCTACCTTTACCATATAACTGGTACCTAAAGGTAGAGTTTGAAGTGTTCATGAGTATAGTCATTTTTCATAATTGTTGAAAAGATAGAGTTGACTTGAAAAGTAAAGCATTATTACATACTCATCAACTGCGTAGGGCTGTCTAAGTTGATTTACCTGGCTGATAGGCCAATTGATTCTTTTGGAGCGGACTTTCCATTATAGGAATTTACTCCTGATGTATAAGACCAATGATTTTCTCCGTAGTTTTTAGAAGAAATAAGGTTAGGCTAATAGCTCTGAATTAGGCTGTACTTTAGGGCGCCTACCAGTCTTTGGAATGAAGACCACATTCACATCCCAACAACTGATAGGAATATGACTGATAAGATTAGACATGCCTAGTTCAATGCTGAGAAAATAGTAAGGCTTATAAATATAATAGCAAATACCTATTTCAACTAGAAGACAATAGTAGGTACAACACAACTAGAAGACACAACATCCACAAAAGTAAGGATGAGAATGAGACAAGATCTTCTTCAATCTGTACTCAAAAGACGACCAGGCGTAATCAATTAATCAGTTGATAGCTTTAAGAGACTAACCTGCTATTTTCACGATCTCTTACTCCCTTCAAGTTCAATATATAAATATTATACATTTTCATTTGGCGAAACCTTATCTCATGTCATTCATAAGGCAGCCTTTTATTGGTCTCTACCCGTGCATTTTGTTTACAGTTAACGTACGGTTGTGTATGAAATTAAACTCCCATAGAGTAAGTCTTAGCTTGGGATATAAAACATAGTGGTTGATAACTTACCATTACTTAACATATCTTTCAACATCGTCTTAGTTACTGGCACCTGCGAATTGGCACTCACTTCAAAAAGATGCAAAGGATAAACTTTCGGGTTCTTACTCTGCAAAGGACCCGTATTCGTAGCGATCAAGTTCAAAAACTTAGAACTAATATTGGGACTAGGATAAAGTTCGATGTCTGATGGTAGGATGAAGTGCGTTTGTGCCATCTCTCGTGCCACATTTCGTCCCACGTTGACGGGATAGAGTAGTTTTTTCTGCGCCTTGTACATCTGATCAGATGAGACGTTGAGGTAGGGTGGAGTGAGTGAGCAATTGTAGGGTTCGTCTAACACGTTGTGTTTGGGAACCTGAAAATGTAAAACAATAATTTGTAGAAGTACAAGGCAACTTAATAAAAGACGGTCAATGACCAAAGACAAAAGCGATAGTGGTTGTTGAACATTTAACAGTTGAGTCGCAAAAGAATTTGCATTCCGATGCAAATGAACTTCGAAGACATAAAACTGAAAGTGAATGCAGCCACTAATGAAAAACCTATAAAATATTTTTTTCAAGAGCGAATGAGGAAGCGGCGCCTCTTCAAAAATAAAAAGTTAAAACAAAATTCCGCAGCTAAATTATGAGGAAAAGGAGAAAGATACTAATTAGTTTTTACAGTTAAAAAATAAATACCATGTAAAATGATCCAATTTTTATCTTTATAACATAAGTAATAACTACTAGAGTGTCCGGAAATAATGTATCCGTTTGTACCTGCATTAGCTTTGGTGCCGCTAATTTGGACACAGTTTATTCCTTGATTGAGTCAATTAAAACTATGAATGTAAAATATTGTTACGCATTTAACATTCAATGCTTCGAAAAGGACCAAATTGTGTCATGTTATTCTTCGATGTAGGATTTAGCCTAGAGAGAATCAGAGTTGTAGAAAAAGTTACTGCTTAGGCCAAGAAGTAGGTGGCTAGCGAAGGCTAAGATTTAAGAATTATAGGGTTTCTTGGGAAAACCGACCAGGCAACTTGCGAGATATTGATAAAAAGACTCCTTGTGAGCTGTATTAAAATAATAGTGCCTAACTCTATTAGCTATAATGTTTCCTTTTATTTGCGACGAATCAATTCACCGATTTTAAATGACATCATCATATTTTCAAAGAAACAAACTGCAAATTCGTTTTTCACGACAAACAGAGATTACCTAAACCTATAAAAAATTAGGTTTTTTAAAATACCAATTTTCTGAGCAAAGCCTTGCTAATAACGGAAAATTGTCCAAAGAATAAACATAATATTTTTGCTTCTGTTTATCCTTCTAAGTGCTAAGTGCCTTCTAAATTTCTCTGGATGAAAACTTAGGAAGCATTTTATGTTTCAAAACCTCTCTCGTTGTTAGAGCTAGCTTTTTATCCAACAGTAATTTAATTGAAATTTGACAAAAAAAAAATGTAATAATAAATTTCCATCAGTTTGAAAAATACAAAATAATTGATTCTACATTATTCAAAATTTGGACAATAGTATATTGAAATCCGAGATGAGAAATTACTATTACGTCGCTACGCGTCTCGATAAACTATATCTCGAGATAGTAATTAAATTTCCTGTCGAGCATATAGTGTACTAAGTATACTCGGTACTTTATTTTTAACCTTATCTTTGTGCCAATTTTAATTAGAAATGAAATTGAATGTAAACGTATCTTCATGCTATTTGTTCTAGTTCTATGTCATTGTCATCAATTTTGAAAAAAAACTTGACAATACCTGCCACATAAATCAAATGAGGACGGAAAGTCAAGACGGGAAATGAGGACGGGAAATGGATTAGGGAAATGTAAAGATATTAAAGAGTAATTTTCAAATTTTTAAAAAGTCTATAATTAGTTCATTCATCCAAGGTTCCGAAACGGCGTTTAAAAGTTTTTTTCTCATCGGTTCTGTATGTTTTTTGGGGTGCTGAATCCAAATCTGAGGTTTGCCCACACGCCAGGCGTCGGGTTCACAACGGAAGTTGCGAAAAACCCTAAATTTTCGGCACTTTTTTCAGGTTTTCAACTATAACTCGAAAACTAACCGTTTTTTAATTATAACTATAATATACCAAATTAAAGCAGACAAAATTTCCTAAAAGTAGGTATAATTACTCTAAAGTCTCGACAATTCATAACGTCGTTAGATCGTCTTGAAAAAAATGGTATTTCTTGACTTTCCTCTAAAAAAGTTGAAAACGGCGGCTGGGGAAGTGATTCCTCTACTGTTATTCATTAATTCCATACCAACTATTGGAACATAATCAAATTACCAGAATATTGAATTTTGTGGCCTGTCAATCGGTGGAAAATGTTGACATTTCTGGTAAATCGTATTGAAATCATTGATTCTATGATTACCTGGTATATCCAGCTCAATTTTAGGAATTGTTGAGTGAGTTCCATATAGTCAACGTCCTGTTAATAATAAAATTTCTCGCGAGTGTATCCTATGTGACGGATCGTTAGATGATGGAACTGAGACGACTGTGCTGAAGAAAAAGGGTTTGGACAGTTTCATTGTAGCAAGTAGAGATCGAGATGATGGTAAAATAGTTTTGTTTATTGGATGTAAGATTGTTAAAGAAGTTGAGATACACGAAAAATATAGGAAGAAATATTAGTATATGTATAGTATAAAAGAATGATTAATGCTGCCTATGAAAGGAATACAGAAAATAATAATTTTTCTGCACTTCGCTCAAATTTAAGACCCACTGCTTTATATGTGGGGAGGAAGTTTCACCAGATTATTTTAACAAACAAATTAGAAAGCCACCACAATGCCGCAATCTTGTGTACCCTGTGACTCAATACTCTGTAGGAAAAAACAATAAAGGCTGCTGAAAGATCGAAATGATGAAGCTGGAAATGCTATTTTACATCGTATACTTTCAGTGCATGATTTGCCAGCTGCTGATGCTCAATACCATTTTTTATGCATGAAAGAGCTATACCTTCTCAAACGTCAAACAAAAATACAAGGTAGACCTAGAAGTGATATGGATGGGGAAATGCAATGTATTTTCAAATATCTTGAAACCAGTTCTGAAGAATGCCAGTTTACAATCGACGAACTAATAAATGAGGTTAAAGGTAAGTTTACTAACTTTCATCCTCACCTAAGAAAGTAAAACCGCGCCTCCCTGAGAAGTATGGCAATGATATATTTATAACGGCCAATATGCCTTATACATATTGTATGTTTCAAAGGTACAGGTCACAAGAATATTAGTGCGGTAGTTGGTCTCAGGAGAGATTGTCAGAGAAGGAAGAGAGAATAAGGACTGTTGGAACCGCAGCTGTATTATTGTTGAAGATGCACGCTCTCAAGTGTACAATTTGACACAGTACCCTCCATCAGATACCTTTATAGATAATGTTGACGATATACTCCCAGAATCTCTCCTAGTCTTAACAGATGCTGTAGTAATGAGCAAGAAAAAAGGAAATTTTGAAGCATGGAAGAAGAAATCTCTTGCAATAGCCGATTGCTTACTAACAGCCATAAGGCCAAAGTCATATACAATATCTCCTCTGCAAGTGGGCGTTGCAACATTTTTGTACACGAAGGTCAATCGATTCATTTGGATTTTGTTCATCACACAGAAGCTGTACGTTTTGAAATGTCTTCTATATTGCAACGACTTTTAACTCTTAATAAACAAGCACTCTTTCAATTGGTCTACGATAACGCTGACTCCAACATCTGAACTATTGACGGGCACAACATATTCCATTCTATGGGTGGCATCATTTGTGTCACTCCAAAGTCGGCTGTTGTTTTGGGTCCCCACATCGATCGGTTAAAGGATAAACCTTCAGCAGAAACTATTGGACGTGTCGGAACTGTTTCAGTAAAAGTGTTTGAAAAGACAGGGCCAGGCTTACCTGCCATTGAAATCAATCCACTCACAAAAGCGCACCTCTGCACCACACTTGTTGTGGCTATACGAAACACATATGGATTTCTTCGGCATTGGTGGGTGGAATGGGTTTATGAAAGACGTGACAAGGAACAAACCACAGGACATCACATATATTGATTGCCAGCTATTCATCAATTCACCTCTTAGTGACTACAGCACAGTCTACACTGCTTTACTGAGTGGTGTTGAAACATCAATATCATTAACCTGAAGGCACGAAAGGTAATTGCAAGTCGTCAGGGAGATCCCGAACTGCAACATGTGATTGTACGCCTGGGTGGATTTCATTTATAAGTGTCATTCACGTAGCTGTGGGTTTCATAATGGAAGGTATTGGATTATCGGAACTTTTCAGCCTTACTTACGCTATTAGCACCGAAAAATTGATGACAGGTTACGCCTATGCAAGGGCGGTCAGAGCACACATGCTAGCTCACAGGACTCTGGTATCAATAATTGATTTTTCTGCCTCATTTCGATTCAAAATTGAAGAAATTTTGTACAACTCTGACCGATAGAAAATTCTGAACGTACATGAGAAGGATTGTGTTGAGGAACTTGCTTCGAAATTTGAAGACAAGCTCAACCAACTCACAGGCCTAGGGTCCACTGCCAAGTTGTTGAGTCAGTATTTTCAAATGGTTACACTTATCTTAAATTTCATAGATGCAGAGATAATAGGCAACTGGGATTTACACCTGGATACTATCCATGACATGCTTCCTTATTTTTACGCCAGTGGGCACTTTCTGTATGCGAAGTGCTGCCACCTGTATTTACAGGATATATTGGAGCTACAATACACTTCGCCCCTAATGAATCAAAAGCTTTCACTGTGCAAGACGGGTTCACTATTCGGCGAAGCCATAAGTTTCGTTGTGGAACATGGAGTGACACGTGCATAGAGCAAGAGCTCATGAAACATATGATATCTTCTGGTGGGCTCACGAGGTGTCGTGGTACCAGCGACGCTATCCTGTCAAGATGATCGACTTTGGAAATGACAACGCACAGAAAGATTTGCGATGCTGAGGAAGGATTCAGCGGAATTGATTTTGCATAATCAGAGCAACATATAGATACTCGAGAATGTTCACAAACCCGAAACAAAATAGATGCAAAGAAAATTATGGAGTAGTTCCACCAATACCAGCCGTTTCTGGAGACAACTGAGCTCATTTCCTTGAGCACAGAGGTTGTGGCCGAGGAAAAAATAAATACTGCCACATGTCTAGAGAAGAATATATCAAGTGTATTGACAAAATGTTGGCAATTGTTGGTAACAATTTCCAGTCAGTTAAATTTAAGCCTAACGATAGGGTGTTATTACTTGCCACCATGAAATCTTCAATAATGGTTCATGATCAATCTGTAGTTGTTAATCCAATTAT